CCATAATTCTTGAGGGTGGTATATCTATATAAGGTATTTGAAATTCTTTTACATCAAAGATTTGTGTGTTTTCCCCTTCCCTCTATCTGGAGTGCTAGCATAACAAAACAATTTCAAAATTTTAATGGTTTAATACATATTTCTATTCTTGTTTATGTAAAATGTCTGTCACGGTGTAGCAAGTTCCTCTATGTAGTTGCTGGGAAGTGGGGGATCCCCCAGGCCTCAACATTAGGGAACTTTACCTTCTAAAACACAACTTCATCAGTTTACCAAGGCACAGGAAGAACACTGCAGGGTTTAGTGGCAGCAATGAGAAGAATCATCTTAAGTGGAAGAACAAGGCCTCTTCAGTAAATGGTGCAGGAGGGCCAGGGATGGGGCTCCGCAGTGTAGTGCCTGCCTGGCAAGAGTGAGGCTCTGAGTTCAATTCCTTGTTAAAAAGAAAAAAAAAAAGTGGTGCTGGAAAAACTGGCTTTCTACATACCAAAGACTAAAACTAGACCCATGCCTATCACCATGCATTAAACTAAAGTCAAAATGGATCAAACATGTAAATATTAAAACAGAAACACTAGATCTATTGGAATAGAAAATAGGTAAAAATCTTTACCTAAGGATAGGCAGAGAGTTCATGAACAAAATCAAAGTGCATGGGAAACACTTTAAAGAATCAACAACTGGAGTCTCTTATTGAGGAGATTATTGAATATGTTTCAATATCATATTGAAAAGTTTTTGCACATCAAAAGAAATCACCAACAGCATGAAAAAGAAACCCCTATGAATTGGGAAAAAAATTAGCCAACTGTCCCTCAGACAAAGGACTTCTATGTAGAACATACAAAGAATTTTTTTAAAAGTCAGGCCCCCAAAATTCAAAGACCCAATCCAAAAATGGGCATCTCAGATGAATGTACATTTCTCAGATGAGGAAATACAAATGGCAAATAAATATATGAAAATGTTTGATATCTTTGATCATTGAAGAAATGCAAATTAAAACAACACTTGAGATTCAATCTCACCCCAGAAAGAATGGTGGTCATCAAAAAGTCAGCCAATAACAAATGTTGGAGGGTCTTTGGGGAAAAAAAATCCTTTTCCACTGTTGGTGGGAGTGTAGACTGGTATGTGGAGATTCCTCAAAAAATGAGGAGTAGGGGCTGGTGAGATGGCTCAGTGGTCTAAAGCACCTACTTAGAACAAGCTTAGCAAAGCACAGGGACCATGGTTCAATCCCCCAGTACCACATACCAGCTAGACCCGCCCCCTGGTGGGCTGAACTGGCCACACACACACACACACACACACACACACATAAATAAATAAAAATTAAAAAAAAAGAGGAGTGGAAGTACCATTCAACCCAGCCATTCCCTCCTGGGCATTTTTCCAGAAGAACTGCAAACATCACACCACAGTGATATTTGTGCACCTGTGTTTATAGCAGCACAAGTTGTCATAGCTGAATTTTGGAAACAGCCTGAATGCCTGTCACCTGAGGAGTAGATAAAATGATGTGGCATTTTTATATAATAAAGTAGACTGCTACAATCACTATAGTATAAAGAAAGATAGAGAAAGATAAACTCGGGTATAAAGAAAGATGAACTAAAGGCTTTTTATAGGAAAATAGATGCAACTAGAGACCATATTCGTAAGTGAAGCAAATCAGATTTGCATGTATAAACATCATATTGTCTACCTAGTATAAGAAACCGATAGTAAATAAAATCTGAAAGGTACAGTAGATATTATAGAAGGGAAAGAAACTAGACATAGAGCCAACCCTGTGCTTGGGCCGAAAGAGGATCGGACATGAATATCACAAGTGTCTACCACTCATCTCCTACCCTAATTGTCCATGAAATAAAACCCTCTTTGTCCCCCAGTTATACTCAGCTAAAATTCTGGGGAAGTTTCACTGTTTCTTAAAGGCAGACTTCAGGTCCTCTCCAAGCCTGTGAGCATTTTCCAGATGTCAATATTGACGTAGCTAATATGTGCTGTACTGGATTGTAGTTGTTGGTGTGCATATTCTGCAGAAGCCATTCTTTCCATATCCTCAGTATCAGCGCAGTCAAGTGCCTGTTACACTGAAAATAATCTATAAAATTTTGTTTACTGAATTAATGAATAGATGAATTCTTAAATTTTTAGCCTAATGTTACACATGACCACCTTCTACAATAAAATTACTCATATACACTATTTTTGGCAATTCAAGTAGATTTTTGTCCTTATTAACTTTAAATGACCTGTAAATAGATTCTATCTAGATTAGCATGAGAAATTCTGTATCTCAAACAAGGTCTTATTT